TGAATTTCCACATTGATGATGAATCTGATCCAATCCTGGGGCTGCCATTGCCTTTTCTTGTGCTCCAGAAACCCCTGCATTTTCCAGTTATTCCATTAAAATCCATCTCAAAATATGAATTTCCACATTCTCCTGGCTTGGATTTGAGGGGTTCCCAAACAAAGGCAGGAATGATGAATCTGACACAAATCCTGAGGCTGCCATTTATTGCCTTTTACTGTGCTCCAGAAAACCCTGAATTTGCAGTTATTCCATTAAAATCCACGTTAAAATGTGAATTTCCACATTGATGATGAATCTGACTCCAGTCCTGGGGCTGCCATTAATTGCCTTTTATTGTGCTCCAGAAAACCCCTGCATTTCCAGTTATTCCATTAAAATTGTGGTGCTTTGACCAAGTCAATCCATGTTAAAATGTGAATTTCCACATTGATGATGAACCTGATCCAATCCTGGGGCTGCCATTAATTGCCTTTTATTGTGCTCCAGAAAACCCTGCATTTTCCAGTTATTCCATTAAAATCCACGTTAAAAATGTGAATTTCCACATTCTCCTGGCTTGTGCTTGTGGGGTTCCCAGACTTCAGGACTTCACTGCTGCTCAGTAAAATCCTCATTCCATTCACAGACTGGACAACTGTAGAGCAGACAGTAATATTTATCTGAAAAATATTCACCTGAAAAACCTGAAAAACATGTCTGGTCATTTGGGAATCTCAGTAAAATCAAAATATCAGAGCCTTTGGGAATGATCAATAGAAACTGAATATCTGTGCCTTTAGGAATCTCAATAATAATGGAATATCTGTGCCTTTGGGAATAATCAATAAAATCAGAATATCTGTGCCTTTGGGAATGATCAATAAAATGAGGATATCTGGTCTATAAAAACAGAATGTTTGATCATTTGGGAATGATCAATAAAATCAGAATATCTGTGCCTTTGGGAATAATCAATAAAAATAGAATATCAGTGCCTTTGGGAATCTCAATAAAACAAGGATCTCTGTGCCTTTGGGAATCTCAGTAAAATCAGAATATCTGTTCTATAAAACCAGAATATCTTCTNAAAAGTATTTTTATTTTTATAAAATAAAATAATATAAGATAATATATTATTATTAAATATTTTATTAAATTATTTATGCAAATATATTTTTATTGTATAAATGTGTAATATATAATATAAAAATACCAGAAAATATATAATGATAGAAGTTATTATTAAGAAAATATACAATAAATTCTGAAAAATCCTTTGGAAAATTTAAATGCCACACCACCTATGTATTTTTAAAAATCCTGTTACTTTTTTTTGGGTAAAATTTGACCCCATTTCACCCCAGTTTTTGCTGCTGTGCCTTTTTGTGCAGATTTAAACTCGAGGGAGCAGGAGACGTGTCAGCCCGTGCACGTCATCAACGTGGACATCCAGGACAACCACGAGGAGGCCACGCTGGGGGCTTTCCTCATCTGCGAGCTCTGCCAGTGTGTGAGTACACAAAACCTGGGGTGCCATGAATTGCCTGTGCTTGTGCTCCAGAAAACCCTGAATTTCCAGTTATTCCATTAAAATCCACGTTAAAATGGGAATTTCCACATTCTCGTGGCTTGGATTTGAGGGGTTCCCAAACAAAGGCAGGAATGATGAATCTGACTCCAATCTGACTCCAATCAAATGGATCTGATGATGAACCTGACTCCAATCCTGGGCTGCCATTAAATACTTTGGCTTGTGCTCCAGAAAACCTCTGCATTTGCAGTTATTCCATTAAAATCCATGTCAAAATGCAAATTTCCACATTCTCCTGGCTTGGGTTTGAGGGGTTCCCAAACAAAGGCAGGAATGATGAATCTGACTCCAATCCTGGGCTGCCATTAATTGCCTTTTATTGTGCTCCAGAAAACCCTGCATTTCCAGTTATTCCATTAAAATCCACCTCAAAATGTGAATTTCCACATTGATGATGAATCTGATCCAATCCTGGGGCTGCCATTAATTGCTTTTGCTTGCTGCTCCAGAAAACTCCTGCATTTGCAGTTATTCCATTAAAATCCACATTAAAATGTGAATTTCCACATTGATGATGAACCTGACTCCAATCCTGGGGCTGCCATTAATTGCCTTTTATTGTGCTCCAGAAAACTCCTGCATTTTCCAGTTATTCCATTAAAATCCACGTTAAAATGTGAATTTAAAATTGATGATGAATCTGATCCAATCCTGGGGCTGCCATTAAATGCTTTGGCTTGCTGCTCCAGAAAACCCTGCATTTACAGTTATTCCATTAAAATCCACGTTAAAATGTGAATTTCCACATTCTCATGGCTTGGATTTGTAGGGTTCCCAGATAGAAACCAGGAGAACATGGAAATGATGAATCTGACTCCAGTCCTGGGGCTGCCATGAATTGCTTTTGCTTGCTGCTCCAGAAAACTCCTGTGTTTTGCAATCTTTCCATTAAAATCCATGTCAAAATGCAAATTTCTGCATTCTCCTGGCTTGGGTTTGAGGGGTTCCCAAACAAAGGCAGGAATGATGGATCTGACTCCAGTCCTGGGGCTGCCATTAAATGCTTTGGCTTGCTGCTCCAGAAAACCCTGAATTTGCAGTTATTCCATTAAAATCCATGTCAAAATGCAAATTTCCACATTGAATGGATCTGACTCCAATCAAATGGATCTGATGATGAATCTGATCCAATCCTGGGGCTGCCATTAATTGCCTTTTATTGTGCTCCAGAAAACCCTGAATTTTCCAGTTATTCCATTAAAATCCACATTAAAATGTGAATTTCCACATTGAATGGATCTGACTCCAATCTGACTCCAATCAAATGGATCTGATGATGAATCTGACTCCAATCCTGGGGCTGCCATTAATTGCCTTTTCTTGTGCTCCAGAAAACTCCTACATTTGCAGTTATTCCATTAAAATCCACGTTAAAAATGTGAATTTCCACATTGACGATGAACCTGATCCAATCCTGGGGCTGCCATTAATTGCTTTTGCTTGCTGCTCCAGAAAACCCTGCATTTGCAGTTATTCCATTAAAATCCACATTAAAATGTGAATTTCCACATTGATGATGAATCTGATCCAATCCTGGGGCTGCCATT